GTCTCTTTTCAGTTGGAAAACAAAATTCTTCATGTGCGATAAACTGGTAAATGAACGAGGGTTACCGTAAGTGATATGGATATGAATCTTTTCTTTATCCACACCCCACATCCACCCAATCACTCATTTAGAATAAAGATAGTGCTCTGTTCCTTTTCTGATTCTCTTTTAATGATACAAGATTTTTTCCAATCATTTAACAAGTCTGAAAGTTCTTTACCAGAAACATTCAACTGAAATTTAAAAATTTTCAAGAAAAAAAAAACCTAGTTTTAATGCTTTTTATGTCGGATTAGAGAAGTCGACTTCATTGAAATGTCTTATACTTTTCTTTGCCAGATAATTGTACTAATGTGAGTGCTTCTAACACAAGTAAGAAAGAACTTCGATTTGGAATGACAGATGCGGTTTGAATTTAGATTTTTCTTAAACGTTCAATCAATATAAGGAATTCTAATTGAAGTAATTTTTGTTCTACTATTCACAATTGATAAATCCCTCATATTGCTATTCATATAACCAGAAACTGATATCAATCGATCACACTTATTCTTGTGCAATTGTTATAGTCATTTTGTTTATCTACTTAGACATATGTCAAACTATTCCTTATCGGAAACAACATCGAAGACAAGGGGACACAACACCTAGCAAATGCATTACAGAACAATAGTGTAAGATTACAGCTGTTTCTGTCTCTCTTCTGTGCGTTATCAAGGTTTATTACAGACCCTTGTCGAAGTGAACCTTGGTAAAAACTCAATTGGAGACGTCGGAGCACAACATCTGGCTGATATATTACGATATAACACGGTGACTCTGACTGGATTTTGATTTATCTCATATTCACTTTTGCTTTCTCACGCAGACACTTTCCATACTTGAGCTTTACGCAAATGAAATTGGAGACGAGGGACTAAAACATTTAGCCGATGCATTAAGAAGCAATAGAGTTCGGCATTAATCTTTCGAATTACAGTCATATCTATTTTCGTTTTTTCAACATAGACACTTACCACACTGAACCTTTCTAACAATAAAATTGGAAGCAGTGCTATACATTGTCTGGCTGATGCATTACAAAACAACAGCGTAAGTCATTAATTCGTTTTCTCAACCACATTCCATATACAATTCAAGAGGCTTCATCGTGTTCCACTGTTTTAATCTCCTAGAGATGTGCTGAAAACTTTTTTATTTTCACAGACATTAACTACACTGAACTTAGCACACAATGAAATTGGGGATGCTGGAGCCGAGCATCTAGCTAATGCACTAGAAAATAATACAGTAAAATATTAGTAGTTCTTCTCATTTCTTTCGAACATATCTTCTTGTTTTTACAAAGACACTAACCACACTCAATCTAGAGAAAAATCAGAGTGGCTATTGTACAGCCATTGGAGCAGCAATTACAATAAGAAACGATTTAGTGATTATGACTGTTGAATTTTTTGAAAATATTCAATTTTCATCTTTTACGTAGACACTTGTCACACTATGCCTCACGTATCATGATATCGGAGACAGTGGACTAGAATATCTAGCGAATGCATTGCAGAATAACAAAGTAAGCAATATACTTGTCGCATCAATCTTTTATTCATCTTCACTTTTCAAACACATAGACGTTGACAACAATGACACTCGTAATGAATAACATCGGGGAGAATGGGATGAGACATCTGGCTGATGCATTGCGAAGGAACTCGGTGACGTATTGATGTTTTTCCTTTCTTTTGTATCTATCTACCACTTACATAGACACTGACCACACTAGATTGTGGTGACAATAAGTGTGGAGAAAAAGGAACACAATATTTGGCTGATGCATTACGAATCAACAAAGTGATTCGTTGGTTTTCTCAACCGCTCTCACTTTTCTTTTATTTATTATCTTACAGACACTCACCACGTTGAACCTTAACAATAATCAAATCGGGGACATTGGGGCACGATATCTAGCTGATGCACTAAAGATAAACCAAGTGATACATAAATCCTTTTAATCCATTGATGTTTATCGACTATTTCACAAAGACACTCACAAAACTGAACATTCGTGTGAATCATATCGGAGAGAATGGAATAAGCTACCTCGCTGATGCATTACGAAAGAACAAAGTGACAAAATATACAGTTTCACCATTCTTATGTTCACTTTTTCTTTTTTTTTGGACAAAGACACTGACCACGCTATTGCTAGGTTCAAATCAAATCGGTGACAATGGAACGCAATATCTCGCTAGCGCATTACAAAATAACCGAGTAATATGAATTGTCGATTTATGTATTGTGTTTATCACTTCTTCTGCATACAGACAATTATTGACATGGAACTTGTTGGAAATAGGATCGGCGATAGTGGTGCCCAACATTTGTCTATTGCACTTAGAACTAACACGGTTCGACTGATTCTTTATGAATCTTTCTAATGTGAATCTTGAATCTTTGATACAGACACTCTCCACGCTACATCTTCATTTCAATTATATTGGAGACATTGGACTGCAACATCTAGCTGATACATTACGAAATAACAAGGTTTGACTGATTCCTTTTGAACCTCTTCAATGTGAGTCTTTACTTTTTGTTACAGACACTCTCCACATTATTTCTTCACTGCAACGATATTGGAGATATTGGGCTGCAGTATCTAGCTGATGCATTACGAAATAACCAAGTGACTCATGAACCATATATATTATCTATATCTTCATAGTTGTGCATAGACACTTACCACTCTTTTCATCCGCAACGATAAAATTGAAGAACCTGGAGCTCGTTATTTTCTTGATGCATTATCAAATAATAAAGTAAGCCATGAAGCATTCTTATCTTTCAAATTCGTTGTTATTTATTATGCAGACCCTCCAGACATTGGATCTACGTACCCATCAATTTGAAGATGATATGCGACGAAACCTAATTAAAACATTTAAACAGAAAGGCAAGTAATCAACAATCATTCTGGTTCTTCTTTCATACATCTTTATTATTTCAGCCAACGACTCACAGAATTAATTCTCTGGAGAAAATATCAATATTATCCTATTAAGTCGTTGGATTAAATGAATAACGTCTTAGACTATACATATATTTCTGATAACTATTTATCGTTTGTAATGCTATCCAAGAATGAATAAAATTAATTAGCTACTCTAGAAACTTCTTGAGAGGGTTGATGTAACTAAGAGATGTGACTGCGGATGTGAATGCATGTATACGTGATTGGATAAATATTGGTAACGCAATGGATAGCCAGACGACAAAATCGATTTCCGCAATTTGAACTCAAATCATAGCTAGCATTGAAGCTACTATGATTCAGTATTTAAATGCATCGTGAGAACTCATTGAAAGTGAATATCTGTTAACCAGTAGATATCAATAAGTATAAAAATAGACCTATTCGACTTACAATATCATATAAATAAAACTTATGGTGTAAATTGAGAATTAAGTTATGTTCATTACTTATGACATAGTTATATAATGTTACATGTTTACTGCCTATTACAGGTCAAACGCCTAAGAGAATTTTTTGCGTCAAACAGTGTTCACCTAAGGTTTTTTCAATTCATCGTGGTTTGCTGCGAAGATATTCGATTAACCATGATTTTTCACGTCACATTAAACATAAACCACGTTTTTCTGCGATCAAACTGTGGTATCATATATCACGACTAGTCGCGGTTTCCCATCCATACACGGCAATACCTCGTTTCCGAGTTTTTCAAGATCTCAAATACCCTGACGAAGTTACCTACAGTCACAGTTAATCGCCATCAGTTGTTTCGTTGGTAAAGTTACCCATAAAGTCGTGATTTATCGCACAGCGGTTTTCGAGGTTGATTTGTATCTAATGTTCACTACGATCTTTACACATTTTGTACAGTACATATTACAATCGTATTTTATCTCATATGAGCCGCCATTCAGTCGAGGAAATTATCTAGAATTGATCTTTTTGAATATTTTAATTCTATTATCACTTGTATAAAAAAAAATTTTCTCTCAAATAACGCGTGAGACAGATTAAATTGCAGGTTTTTATAAAATTCATATAGCAAGTTAATTTTAAATCAGCATTCTTATGTTCAGAAATTTCAAATCTACGACTTAGAACTTTTGAAAACACGACATACTCCAAACTGACGCATAGCTTTCCAACTCCTACTTACATACATTGCATGTCTCTTGCAGTCTCTTGTTTATAAGACTAATAACTAGCTATATTTAATTGACATAATCATGTGAGCTTATTATGCTTGTAACGATTTTCTTTAACTGACTGAAAATTCAAAAGATTGAATTTCACGACAAGACATTAAAAAACACATTAGACTTGTCTAATAATTACAAAACCGAAAAAGAGTTATTTTTAAGCATGTCATATTTTCGAAATATCTGAATATAAGAAAGCTTATTTAAAATTAGGTTGCTGTATGAATTTGAGCAACTTCATTTGCTCTATTTAGTGTTGAAAATTAAACGATATAATTGATTCGAATATCATTGATAAAAATCTGCAGTTTAATTTGCTTTACCCGTTGCATCTGTATTTCATAGATCATTCGATCAATAAATTCTCAATCGATCAATATTAAATCAAAAGTTATTTCGAAAACTCAAAAACAACAAAACAGAAAACATCGAAAAATAAAATCTTTTACAGAATGCTATTTATCTATTTCAATATCGTTTTTGTCAAGTCCTCTAACAACAGATATTTTTGATATTGTCTCAAAATCTACCATGTGAACATGAAAAGTCTCAACAAATCATTTTAGACAAAAACAAATGCTGTCTTGTTTTTTTTTGAAATAAAGTTTTCATCGTGTTTTGCCGTTTATATTGAATGTCAAAAAATAAAAATAAAAATAGGCAATTTATTAATTATATGTGATTGATCAAAAAAAACGTAAACATTACAATAAAACAAATTATCAGTTGTTCAATGTATAATGTATATTGTAAAATCATGAATCAATGGTATATTAAGCGGTTGTTTGACAACAAGGTGTACTATTAAATTGATTTTCATATGTTTCATTAGCCAATGAAACTTTGTTTTTTGATAGACGATTTTTCGCTTGAATATAACCAAAAATAAAATAACCAATAACAAGACCAAATATCAGAGAAATAAAACTACCACTTTCATATGTCATAACTAATAACATTATCCAATAAGCAAGAACTATTTGAATTCCATAAACTAATGCTAAATATATTTGATTTAATAATAAAGATGAATTTTCTCGAGTATTTTCATTTAACCGATGACGAATATAAGCTAAAGCTCCATTTAATAAACCCATACAAAAAATCCCGACAATCATAACTGCATATTTAACATGATTATTAACATTCCAACCATGAAATAAAAATACAATGCAACGATCTTTGCCAGTTGCAAATTGAAAACCATTTTGCATAACCCTGCAGGTATCCATTATTAGCTTTTGTAAAATACTATCTAAAAGAAGTGTTGGGGTAAAGAGAAGGACTCAAAATAGACCGCCAGGCCCGCACAAGAGAAACTTTTCCTACAGGTCGAAATGGTCTAAACTGTTGTCGGCCAACTCAGTCTCAAGTTTATTTCTTGTGTTTTTAAGGCAGGTTTCCCACATAAGAGAAGAGAAAGTCTGGTTTTTCTACTTTTCAGATAAATTTGATTTGATTCTAATCTTTCTTAATCGATAAAGCCATTTTAACTGATCAAAAAGGACCAAAATCAATTGAATTCTATCATTAAAACTAAAAAATCATATTTGAATTAGAATTAAATAGTATCATTTTAATCGATTTTATTTTTATTTTTCATCAAAATTCCTTACATGTATTTTGCACTTCACAACTGGTAACAATTAGAAATCTTTTTTATGCGAGCATTTCGGAAGTATCATTTAACTTATAAATAAAATCAGGGCATTTATTCGTTTCAATGACATTTCTGAGTTATACACAAAGCCGAGCCGACTATCAGCTGCATTTAGTGGCATGGGTATTACTGAAATAGATGGGCGTTAATTGTGTAGTAAAGTTGATAGTGAACATAAAAATGGTAACCGACTTGACTTTGCAATTGATCAGTGGCTATTCTATCCGTTACAGCTTATATTGATAAATGATAGTTTTCAAGAAGGTATAGTATCCAGGAATGCATCTTGCTCTCTCAATTCAATAAGCTATTCGACTTGTCTTTCATGCTGATTTTTTCCAAGCATTAAAATTGTGCCATCTGATTGATCTCGTGAGTTTATCGAGCAATCTATCGACGGTGTATGTTCGATTCGAGTCACACAAGATCTAGAGGGTCTTCGAAACACAGTAAATCAATGATCAAACTTTTTTTTTTTGGCAATTAAAAACCTTTCAAAAATTAATTCATTTATCTAATAATTGAAAAAAGTTTTAAAATTTTTGTATCGATTTCTTTTCTAGACTTATAAATAACTTGAATCGGTAAGTATTTATAACAAAAACCTTAAGATGAAAATATTTCTACGAACGAGCGAAGTTGTACAACCATTTAAAAATTTCATATAAGGCACAGTCATCTTATATTCTGATAATCGTGTTCACAACTTACAATGACAGAGAAAAACAAATCACTCTTAAAACCTGTTTCTTTCAAATTTTTTAGATTCTCATTCTATATGCTAACTTTCAGGGAAGAACTTTGAATAAACCTGACATACGATATTATACAATTATCAGTTAAAATCACATTTAGATATCAATATACAAGGTAGTTCTTCAGATATTTTTAAATAAATGAAATTTTTCTTTTTCAATAAAATGCAAACAAATAAAATAACTTTATTAAATTCTCTGCTTGTATTGAACATTTTCTTAAAATCAACGGATTCTATTTGTGAGAGATTTTTTTGCTTGTGCTCCATTATCTCGAAAGATTTCAGACATAAAATATTTTATTACAGTTTTATAAGGAAAAATTGAATTCTTTTTTGATATATTTCTAGTAATTCAGTAAAATGAGTTTAACATTTGCAATGAAGTAATAAACTATAAAAGGAAGTTTTTAAATACTAAACTACCAGCAATAATAAAACAATTGTAAATTGTACTTTTCATACAAAATACAGAGCTTATGAGTAGCAAAACAAATTAACGTATATATATATATATATGAATAGTAAAAGTGTTGACGATTATAATGGAAATAAAAATTGAATAGGAAGATACAACGTATTGATACACCGTTTAAGTATTTTTAATACATTATTGAATAATATTTGCTAATAAGTGTATTTGAAAAGCTCAGACAATGAATCAATATTTTGTGTCTTGTAACTAAGTTTTTATTTGTATTATAAGTGTCTACTCATGTACTATTCATACATATATCTATGTAAACTAATTCTACTGAGAAATTCCGTATTTTACATGAAAAATACGATTTCAAATCATTTTGTTTTGTGATACAAAGTACTGATATATAAAACTAACCTTCAGTTGCTCCTTTGAAGTCCTCTAGAAAATAAAAACACAAAGAATAATTGTTTTATCTTTATCTTTCACCTTCTATTTCGTTAAAGTTAAATTTATATTTATTTCTCGTACTCTTATCATGATCTTCACCTCTTTTTGTTCTTGATGGTAATAAAATGTTTCACTCGACAAATAACACCACTAAGCATTCTAAACATACACATTTATCGAATCTCAGTGAAAAACATATATTAATGAAACTATTTGTATAGATTTGATTAAATATCCAAATCATTTCTATCTCAATTAACAATGAAAATATTGAATAAATTATTTAAACAGAAATTGAAATCATTCATTGCATGAGATTTAAAATCATACTACAATATTAAAATTTTGTCTAATAATTTCTTCATTTTTCATATTATTATTCGTAATTGAATTAATTCTAATCGAAAATCTTGATATTTATTCTCATAAATAAATGACTATGTTGGTTGATAAAAGAATTACCTTGAATTGATTTTTTTAAGTGTTCTAATTCTATTATTACTTCTATAGAAAATTTTTTTCTTAAATATTTATGTTAATTAACTACTAACATATCTTTATATTGTATGAAAAAAATTAGGACTCTTGAAATGTCAACTAGTGAAAAGCAGCGGTAGAAGAGCAGACAACCATACAGAAGTACATAAATGTACTTAGAGATCCTTTGAAATTATTTTGTAAGGAAACAACCAAATTGGAAGAATTAACTAAGAAATTGTTACCGAATTTCACAGTATTGTTAAACTTGAAACTTGAATTTTAATTATTAAACAACTATTCAAGCATTGAATTGCTCAATATTACTTCGCATTGCGTTAAGGTTTCGTTGCATTTTCAACAAGAGATATGCCCCCATGTACTTGTTTTCGTAATATACTTGAATAGTTGAATTTCAACTTTCAAGTTTAACATGCATGAAAGTTATCGATATAAGAGTATCAGAAAAAGAGTATACATCTAAGGACATACTTCTCAAGGTTTAAGTATCAGTGTTTAAGTGAAAGAGTGCAGTTGTAAGAGCTTAGTGATTGTCGAACAGGTAGAAGAATGTAGGTATAAATTATAGGATTATGGGTACTGAACCAAAAATATAGTTTTTATGGAATAAGCTTTCTCGTACAGATTTACGGTGAAGATTTAATATATGTAGAAGTAAGGATGTAAACTGTATCGAATTACGTAACGACAGTTTTAAACATTAAGTTCATGTACATATTCATGGTGTTGTAAGGAAATTATTTGGTGTGAAAATGAACTAAACTTGTCCTCTTGAAGCATTGAGCTTTGAATGTATTCGCACGATATACAAATGAACTTTACTTTTATTTTACGTAAAAAAAGGATGCATACCTCACACATATATATTTTATATAAGTTGAAGAGAATGAAAAAGAAAACAGAAAACAAACGATAACAATAACTGAACAAAGAAAAAGGAAAAGTAAATCGAAGATTATTATGCTGATGTAATATTACCGCTAACCAAAAAGTAATAATTAGTGTGAAGAGATGAAAAAATTGTAAGTCTTGATGTATAACTGCAGAGATGACGATTTTTCGTATGATCATATCAGATCATAGGATCCAGTCAAGGGTCTGTAACTAATCGTATTGATTGATTCTTTAATTGGAGTATTGGCCATTTGTTTATGTATATATTGCTTATACTATTTATTTCCATTTGAAATCAAAACTCACGCTGACATGATTTAATTTCATTATGAATTCGTGTGCCATTGAGATTTGCTTTGTCTTGTTCATATTCTCATTCCTGTTGTCATCTATCTGTTCATCAGTACCAAAGTTTTTAGTGATATTACCTTCTTCATTCTTTAACATTTTCTTTTCGTCTCCTAGGTTAAGTTCATCACGATGATTATCAATTCAAAAAACTAAAAAAGAACTCATGCTTAAAATATGTATTTCTTCGTTGTTTTTCAGAATTGTATTGATTTGTTTTTTTATGGACAAAACTTTTCTATTTTTGTATACTTATTTTTTCCTCAAGATTTATTACGTACGCTGCTCCATTGTTCTTCTAGTCATTATGCTATTAATTAAAGGTTCATATAATTCAGCTAATTCTTAGTCGTAAAATCGTTTGAGGCATCTCTATATTTTATCGTTTTGTTACACAATGCATTCTGTCTGTTCTTATTATCTATGTTGATTCATTTGTATGATTTTGTTTTTTATTAGTTACATGTATGAAGTATGAGTTAGGGATTAGTATTGAAAGTTGATGTAATAACATCAGATGTCCAATTTCTTCGAAGATGTAGAAAAAATATAAAAATGTATGAAAGTATACAAAAGTATGCTTCTGTACTTCCAACTCTAATAGAGTTTTTACTTCAGGAGGATATTTGCTCCACATGTAACCTTTCAAATTTTGAACTATTAATAATGATTGGCAGCATGATAAATACCTTGTCCGCATAACTAACTCTTTATATCAGAGTTCAGTATGGGATGCAGCATAGTGCCTTCTGAAAAGTCACGGCCCATACTGTTTTACATGTGCACAACGAAATCTACTTTTACTTTGGATTATGAAAATAACGTGAATAGTTGAAGTGGACATGTATGTAAAATTCAAAAAACATAGGCTTTTTTAACTCTAATGTGAACTAATACTACAAAAGAAAATTGATAATGACATATATAGTACTAAATTCAATTCAAGATGTAATCGATGGTGATGATACTAAGTATAATTGAACATGTTCTTGTTTTAAGTGATATTGCTCATAGTTCAGGTGAGGATGAGACGCAGAAATTTAACCAACTATCGCAGCAGCTATGAGCAGAAGTTGAACTTCGTTAAGAGTTAAATACTTGATGATTTAAAATTTTATATTTATTTTTATAGATTCATGATTTAATACAACTAAATTACCAATCTTAGAGAAAACATGCACTAAAAGATGACAACGATGAAATACGA